CATACAGGAGATATCGGATAAATAGATTTTGTAGCTTGCAGGTTATCGATAATTTGTTTTTCATAAAATATATATCATAATAAGTCCTGAATATTCGTCAACAAAATTTAATATATATGAATAGGTGTCTATACCCTTTTGGGGAAATTGAAACCTGCTAAGTCGCAATAAACACTGAACAAGATATCTGTTGATTTTGGGATCTGACCCTATTTCTATATATCGTTGTTTTCCTTTAATACACGTGTCACAATGTTGTAAGGAAATGAAATGTAATTTTCATTCCAGTGACGTATTTTGCAGTATTTTAATATCCAAATTATTACAGTGGAGTAATATTTTATGTCAAGTCCTTAAGTCGTTGAGGATGTTTTAGAAGATTTTAATACTTTTAAATAAGACAAACGTCTATTTTGATGTATATTAAATTCAGATTCCGTCTGGCAGAATTTAACTTTGAATTGTCTCGGTGAAAATTAACTTTAACACCAGTTCTAACAGCAGACTGAACCGAGAAAATATTTTGTTTAAATTTAGGAATATATAAAGCCCTTTTTAATAAACATTTACAAATATTTCCTTAGTATCTCGTAAATAAATACAGGCATCGCCTCTTTTAAAAACTAAATTATTAGCTCTGGTCCCGTCAGCAAATGCAAAAAAATGGGAATCAGGCTTAAAGTTGGGGTCAAAATTAATGAATTTTGTTTCATCTGTAATTGCATGATTTGTCGAACCCGTATGACTAGGTAAGAATTATAACTATTTTATAGTTTATCCAATCCAAACGAAAACCAAATATTTCGCTCATTCGAAAAAAAAGCTTTTACATTTTTGCAAAAATCACTTATTGTAGGACATTAACATTTAAAATTTAAATAACGTACATGGCCCGGTTTTGACAAAAAAAAAAAAACGATATTCTTTTTCTATTATTACTGTTCCAGTTGTTGTTGTTGTTATTGTAATAATTGTTTTAAGCCCCTTGTTTTTGAATAATTAATTCCTAATGAAAGGCTTGAGGGACTGATTTACTGATTTTTTAAAATGAGGTTCTCAGTTGCATTACGTTATTTCCTTGATTTTTGGGGCCTGTGGGGGTACACATTTTCAGTTTCTTCCTAACTACGTAACGTAATTTTTAAACTCAGTGAAAGTTAATTTTTATATTTTTGAGTTATGACTGTCGTGAATGGTTTGAATGTTCCTTTAATCCCTTTAAACCACCAAATTCCTTAGCAGCCCATCTGAGATAATCTCATCTACCATTTTTAAGGCATTTGGTGACATTCTCAAAGTAAAATATAATCTGTTACAGATTCATTTTTCCGTCATTTTAAAAAAATGCCAGTTAGTTCAGCATATAAAGCAATAATTTTAGGTTTACCTTTTGACAAGTAAATGTTCTCGTAAAAATCTCACTAAAGATCGTCGTCCATTGTCCTTGGCTTCTCTCGTTATCAAAGACAAAACTAATTTTCATCCAGGCAAATAATTAATTCGGCGAACACGGTCGCATTTCTTTCCATAAAATCATCTTCTTTCTGGTCATCTTGGCAAAGAATGATGTCATGAAGCTTTTGTATTCTGAGGTATTTTTAAGAATTTGATTCATTCATAATTCATACTTGGTTTCAGTTGTTTCCGTCATTCTGGGCTGTAGCCAATGTTAACCATGTTTGCCGTAGTATCTGAAATAGAATCGCAGTGAAGTCCGCAATGTGTTCAATATCAGATGTTTTGGCAGTGAAGATTCAGAGAAAGTAGCGCCTGTTAAGTAATTTTTAAATTCTTCGATATCAGGTTGGCAGTGAGAATAATTTTGGGAGAAAAACAAAAAATGGCTTTTTTTTACGTCGGATTGAATTTTTGAGATTTCTGATTAATTATATATTGTATTGGTGAACTATAAAAGTTAATTCAGCTCATTTGGCTTGCTCACTAGTAATAAATTTTACAAAAAAAAATTCCAACATTAAAAAAAAAGACCTCATTCTACGGACCAAGTATGCGAAGGAAGATTTTAGCAGTATTCGAGGTCCCTTGTGCTGGTGTCGGAGAACACCTGGATTCATTCTTCATTCAGCATAGCCAAATTTGCCTGCGCGTCAAAGTAGGCGAGGAAAGGGAAAGGGATATATATATAAAAATATCGGACGAGTACCCCTGTAACGAACCTGGAAAAATGATTCCAATGATGCATGTTAATGACCAGGGTAATAGTCAACACATGGTTCCAAGAACATCTGAGACGACTATGGATGGAGGCGTCCAGGAGGAGAAAAAAGAAAACCTAATTGATTATATAACCATCAACAATGCAATGATGGTAAACTGTAAATCCTATCCAAGTTCTGCGGAAGCGATCATCGATATAAACTAAGATTGAAAGTACGGAATTGAAGAAGTCTAATGCAGCTACCGAAACTTCATATTAAACAACTCCTGGGGACCCTAACCCAAAAGAAAATATATGGACAATTTGAAAAGTCTATTATGTTACACAATGGAAATCGAAATGGGACGCACTAAGATATCATCCGAAAGGGAGACAGAAGTTTAAATATTTTGAATAATTTTAAAGTCTGTATAACCATTCTAAAAAATAGCTCATGTGACATAAAAAATTAGCACCTACTTAATAAAAAAATATCCAAACATTAGATTTTTTGTGTGTATTTTCACCAGAAATTAAAGCAAGCATTCGACTATTATAACGGCGAATGATCAGACAATATGGACATTCATTGCCTGTTATATTTAATAAAATATGCTTATATTTATATATATATATATATATATATATATATACGCATACACACAATTATATATATATATATATATATATATATATATATATATATATATATATATATATGTATGTATGTATAAATAATGTGTGTAATTTATTCGAAATTTTTTACATAAATATTTTATAAAATCACTGAAAATTTTTTATTTTGTTTCAGCACATCTTAAATGTCAAATCAAGTGATGGTGTGGAGTGTAATAAACACAAGCATATATATATTTATATACACACGAACTTATATGTATATATATATATTTATGTACACACACACACATATATATACATGTATAAACATTGGATGACTAACATTTCATTGGTTATATAAACAAGAATTTTCTTTGCAGTTTGAACAAGCAAGACAAGTAGAACAGATCAGAAAACTTACAAAGACAGGTTTACAAAAACGTCGTCAGTTGAGCAGTGAAAATATTTGCAGTCTAACCAATGAAAAAATTGGGTCACACCCACATAGCTCTATATCTCTCTTTCCCTTTCTCTCTTTCCATATTTATTTCTCTCACTCACTCTCCTCTCCTCTCTCTCTCTCTCACACACACACACTCTCTATCTCTCTCGTTTTCTCAAACCATTTTATGCAATCTACAATGGCGTACGTGTTTAAACTGAAATTGTGGACACACGTCAACAATTCAAAGGATCCTTATAAACTAAGACAGTTTTTAAATCTGTTTTTTATATATATATATATATATATATATATATATATATATATATATATATATATATATATATATATATCTTTTGTGTGTAATAAATTTTGGTATGCAATTTCGACAGAGTTACAACCTATTGATATTTGAAAAAACATTCATGAATGAATATTTCGAAATTAATTCCTAATAATGCAAATAGATAACGAAAAATGTATTGTGTGTGTATGTATTTCTCGAGCAATGCCAGCTTAGGAAAAATAATATGACATTTAATTATTTTTTAAATGCACACAAATGGACAACCAAAACAACACATTTTTCGTTATCAATGGCAAGATGTGCCATAGAACCAAATGAAATGCGTTATCGGATATTATTTTGAAAAAATTTCATCCGTTTTTCTAAATGTCAATAAACACGTACAACCTAAACTGATATAAAGAATGATCTCCAGGATTGACCAAGAGGAAGAGCCATTTGGCAAATAATTTAGATATTGCAGATATAGTGGGATGGTCCATTATTTAAGAATCATAAACTATTAACTTCGTTAATAACATGCAGCAAGGAAGTTGATTTCAAATCCAACAAAAAACTGGACTAGGTCTAATCTAAAAATATAATCAAAATAACCGATAAAATTCTAGTTACACCTTGTAATAATCTCTTGAACGATTCGTGGACAAATGGTGTCAAATCCAAAAGGAAAATCATTTACCTCAAAATTTGAGGATTTAAATTTTTTCATCTAAGGGAGTAAATTGTATTAACTTTAAAAAAATTTGATTTATAGACTATCATTAACAGCAAGGAAACTCTATAATAAAGAAGGAAGGCTGTGTTCTTGTAAACAACACCCCACATGAATAATGCACAACAAACACGAGAGAAAAATAATCAAGCTCAGTGAACATTAATAAAATATTATTATTAACAATGATATACAAATATCAACAATAGTATAAAGAAAGTTGCTTCCCTTTTTCCGTAATAAAAGGGTAAGTTTAGCTAATTAATGTTGAGTACAAAATTGAATGTTATTTAACTACAAAGTTCAATTGAAGTCTTAGCTAAATAAAGAATAGCTCCACAGTGTTTTATCAGTGTAGAAAAATGTAATGTTCATGAGTGATATCAATAGGAATTAGTATGATTACTCGATTGAGTGATAATTAAGAATTAAAATGTCAATATAGCGCCGTGCCTTATTTTCCAAGAATTGAACTGCTACTGACAGTTGGCAAACAGCGAGAGTCTTTTATAACGATGGATAGGCTCCAGCGAGCTTGGCGCTCAAAAAAATATAGAAAGATACTAAAATACACGATTGGTCAGGAAATGGACCAATCCGTGATTTTAGAGAAAATTTCAAATTACCTGCGATGGCAAAATTGTCATATGATAAGTATCATGTTTTTACGAACCAATGATATTGAAGGAAATGGAGGTGTGGCACATGTAAGTGATCCCCACAATACCCCGTCAAGATTGAAAAGTCAGGGAAGAAAGAGTTTTCAATATGTAATGAAAGTTCTGAACTTCTTAGGCCAGTGGACGGTACGTCCGCTAGCAGTCCTAGTAGGTGCTGGTGACGAAAGGGCTCTAGGTTGATTGGTTGATCCATCGCGTTCAATACATGCAGGTTTTAAGTGATCGATAGAGAAAGTCGATCGGCCGTGGTTAGTCTGTAAAGTATAATATTTATCGGTCCGGGCAAGGACACGAAATGGACCCGCATAATGTGGTGTCAGTGGCTTTCTAACAGAATCCTGTCGCACAAAAACGTACTCGCATTCCAGTAAGGAAGGAGGTACATAAACGTCACGTGAAGTGTAACGGGTTGGAGTAAAGGCAAGAGAAGACATTTTTTTCCGAAAATAGGTGATGAAACTGGATGAAGGTTCTTGTGTAGATGTTACGGAAAAATATTGACCTGGTAGTACCAGCTGTTGTCCGAAAACTAGATCAGCAGGCGAGCATTTCAGATCTTCTTTCTTGGTGCGAAGTGAAAGTAAGACAAAAGGTAGGTTGTCTATCCAAGAAGAGTTAGTGCCTATGCTGGTCAAAGCAGCTTTAAGTTGGCGGTGGAACCGCTCAACTAGGCCATTGGAACATGGGTGGTAAGCAGTTGTTGATATATGACGAGCTCCAAGTAAATTAGTAAATTCAGTGAATAACTGAGATTGGAATTGCGGTCCCCGATCAGTGGTAATGATCGAAGGGCATCCGTAAATAGAAATCCAGTGTTGAAATATGGCGCGAGCCACGGATTCAGCGGTAGTGCTGTTGAGTGGGACGGCAACCGGCCATCTCGCGGTAAATCTATCTGTAATTGTCAAAATGTATTGACATCCCCGAATCTCCGATAAGGGACCCACTAAGTTCGCATGTAGATGTCGGAAACGACCATCAGGGGTAGCAAAACGACCAACTGGTGACTTAGTGTGTCTCTGGATCTTGTTTTGTTGACAAACAACACAAGACTGAGTATAACGAGTAATGTCTTTACGCATCTTAGGCCAGACGAAACGGTCTGCAATTAACCTAAGTGTAGCTTTACGACCAGGGTGGGATAACGAATGGAAGTGGTCGAATATTTGTCGCCGCATATTGGTTGGGACGACTGGTCGAGGATTACGTAGACTGGTGTCGCACGCGATAAACTTATCAGTAAAGGGCAAGGGATGATGCTCAATTTGTAGTGACGAATCTCGAAGTGAGTCGAGCAAAGTTATCTCCCGTACTTGTTCATCCGCGATTTTTTCCATGTCTAAAGTATCTTGCAGGCTTCCACACAAGGATGCTCTGGAAAGTGTATCGGCAGCGATGTTATCCTTTCCTTTAATGTGACGTATATCCGATGTAAACTGAGATATATAATCAAGATATCTGTAGTCTCGAGGATTGTACTTGTCTGATTTAGTTGAAAGGGCAAAAGTGAGGGGCTTGTGATCTGTGTAGATCACAAAGTGTCTACCCTCTAAAAGGTGTTTAAAATACTTAATTGACAAGTATATAGCTAAAAGTTCCCTTGAAAAGGTACTATACTTCTTCTGTGTGGACGTCAACTTAACGGAGAAGAAGGAAATTGGCAAAGATTTAGCGTCAACATGTTGGTGTAAAACTGCGCCTATGGCGTCAGAAGATACGTCAGTCGTTAATGATAACTGAGTGGTAACACTGTCAGTGAGGCATGAAAGTTTCGTAAAGTTGACCAATGCTTTACGAGAGTTGTCAAATGCTTGCGTTGTGTCGTTGTTCCAACAAATAGGAGTATTTTTACGGTCTTGCCCGCGAAGGATATTTGTCAGGGGTGCAAGAATTTGTGAACAACGTGGGATGAATTGACGATAATAATTGATTTAAGCCAATGTATCTGCGAAGCTGTCGAAGTGTGGAGGGCTTTGGAAATTCCTGGATAGCACGTATCCTTTCAGGTAGGGGAGTAATACCTGTAGCATCAATGACGAAACCGAGAAAGTGGAGTTGCGAAACGGCAAACTCGCACTTCTCTGGGTTGATTTTTAAACCAAAGTTCTGAAGACGATCAAAGACTTGCTGAATATGTTTACGATGCTCCTGTAAATTAGGGCTAGCTATTAGAAGATCATCAATGTATGCGAAAGTGAAAGGTAGTTCACGAAGTACCTCATCTATAAGGCGTTGGAATGATTGAGCTGCGTTACGCAGTCCAAAAGGCATACGCAGAAATTCAAATAAACCAAACGGCGTGGTAATCGCAGTTTTGGGAATATCTTCGTCAGCGACTGGGATCTGATGAAAGGCTTTGCGCAGATCCAGTTTGGTGAAGACAGTTGCTCCCTGTAAGGTAACAGCAAAGTCGGTCAAATTGGGAACTGGGTACTTATCGGGTACCGTTTGTGAATTAAGTCGTCTATAGTCGCCACACGGCCTCCAGGCGCCCTGCTGAGCCTTAGTGACCATGTGAAGCGGTGAAGCATATGGACTCGAGGATGGGCGAATAATCCCGAGGTCGAGCATGTGTTGGAACTCGGCCCGGGCAATCTTGTATTTATCCGGCGCAAGACGGCGAGGTTTAGAATAGACAGGCTGTTCGGTAGTTCGAATCCTGTGTACAGTGCTGTGCTTGACAGGCTCTGTATAAGTAAAAGGTTGTATCAACGAGGGAAATTTATCCAAAATATCTTGAATCGGATTATCACGCGGCACAGCGATGCGTAATTCTGTGGATGTTAGCTGTGATACAATTCCGCGGTTAGATAGCTTCGTGGTGGAGTCAGATAACTGACGCTGTGAGAGGTCCACGATGAGTTGATAATGTGCCAGAAAGTCGGCGCCTAATATGGGGAATTTCACGTCTGCAACAGTGAATATCCATTGATATGTCCTTCTAAGTCCAATATCCAGTGTTAACGATTGTTCGCCAAAAGTCTTGATGTTCGTACCATTAGTGGCGCGTAAAGTGACTGAAGAGTTAGTCTTAGTGAAGTTGGGTGATGGTGGAACAACGCTAAGCTGTGCTCCCGTATCTATTAGGAATGACATGTTAGAATTCCTGTCTTTTATATAGAAGAGACGGTTAGTAATATGTGTCCCAACAGTAGATGCCGCCTTCAAGTGCTGCTGGGATCGGCGTTTCCCGCCTTCCGTAATGCTTTGGGTGAAGGTTGGCACTTGAAGGTACACGGTTTAATGCATCTGTGAGCTCTATCACCGAAGTTAAGATGGTACCAGCATAGCGTGGGTCGGCGAGCGCGAGTAGCAGAATGAGAGCGTCGCCGTACCTTGTATGAGTTTTTATCCTCTGGTCTGGTAAGATGCTGCACCTGGGTGGAAAGCCTCTCGAGTTGCTGTTTCAGCTGTTCTATTACATCCATCATAGCAGCGTCAGTGGGTACAGGGGAGTCCACGCTGCTGATGCTGGGTACGTCATTAATTTTATCAGCGATCTCAGCAATTCTCGAAAGATCTAAGTCATCGGGAAGCGTAGCCAGAATCTGTGAAGTGTATGGCGGTAACTTGTCCAGCCAAAGTTTGCGGAATAGTGATTCCGACATCGAGTTCTTTCCTAACAGACTCTTCATTCGTCTGAGTAATTGCGACGGGCGGCTATCTCCGAGCTGTATAGTATTAAATAGATCGTGCAACCTGCGCTCATGCGATTTTCCAGTACGGTAGATGATGGCTTCCTTTAGTACATCAAAGGGGTTATGAGCGGGAACGGCTTCTAGAAGGTCTAGCACGTCAGCAGCGATCTCTGGTGGTAGCTTCTCGACTATGTATGCGTAACGCGCAGTCTGAGAGTGAATATGCTTTGCTTGGAATATGGCTTCAGTCTGGGCGAACCACACGTTTACATTAGCCATGTCGAAAGTTGGGAGGGTCAGCACAACGGCTGTCTCTTGTACGGACTGTTCAGCCATTATGATTAAGCACGTGGTGTTTTTGGCGCGAAGTAATATCTCTCGATAAACTGGATCGGTAAGTCGTCCAAATGTAGGTACGGTCCTACAGAACGTCAGGTTCATCAATTGAATTTAGTTCCAACGAATAAAGTAGTTCCAACGTCAGGTTTAATCAGGTACGTCAGGGTTCCAAATGTAGAAGGAACGTCGGGTTTACCAATCGTAGTAGGTACGTCGTCGGGGTTACCAAATGTAGTGGTGCTGTAAGTATTGTTGGCTAGGGTCACCGTGAATATAATAAAGAAGGAAGACTGTGTTCTTGTAAAACAACACCCCACATGAATAATGCACAACAAACACGAGAGAAAAATAATCAAGCTCAGTGAACATTAATAAAATATTGTATTAACAATGATATACAAATATCAACAATAGTATAAAGTTGTTCCCCTTTTTCCGTAATAAAAAGGGTAAGTTTAGCTAATAAATGTTGAGTACAAAATTGAATGTAATTTAACTACAAAGTTCAATTGAAGTCTTAGCTAAATAAAGAATAGTTCCACAGTGTTTTATCAGTGTAGAAAAAATGTAATGTTCATGAGTGATATCAATAGGAATTAGTATGATTACTCGATTGAGTGATAATTAAAATTAAAATGTCAATATAGCGCCGTGCCTTATTTTCCAAGAATTGAACTGCTACTGACTGTTGGCAAACAGCGAGAGTTTTTATAACTATGGATAGGCTCCGGATAGCTTGAAAAAATATAGAAAGATACTAAGAGATAAGATAGTGTAGTTTACTTCTGCTTGCTTCCCCAGGTATAACGAAAAACCAAGAAAATATGTTCAAAAGTCCGTTTTTCAGCAATAACTCCCTGTTTTTTTTCATCCGATGCTTTCCAAATTTGCCATCTAAATTCCATATGACACACAAATTGTCTTGCGTAAATGTTTAGTTTCAATTATTTCAGTTAAATTGACAAAATCTGCGTCAAACTAGGTCCAAAATCGGCTTTTGCCATCTGGCCAATATTTTCTTCATATGATTTCATCCTAAATTGATATTCGAACACACTTTGAGGCAAAGATTGTTTAAGAATCTACTGCAACATGAATCTACTGCAACATGCACCCACTGCAACATGCATCTACTGCAACATTTATCTACTGCAACATGCACCTACTGCAACAGGCTTATAAAAAGAATTAGAATTATTATCAACAAAATGTTTGTTTACTTCGACTGTCAAATGAAGTTGAGATTCACAAATGTCTTTGATTTTCTCGTTTGTTTAGACAATAGTTCAGATCATAATAAATTTCATACTTTGTGAAAAAGTGTCAAATCAGTTATTACCTTAAATCGTGTGATGAACCTTCATAAACATGTATAGGAGGATAATTATATAATCTCTCTAAATCTGTAGAATTTAATCCTTTCCAAATTTGTCTTTTTCTTCTTTTCATTTATATCATCAACTCATTTTTTCTTAATCCAATTCCCAGAACCAGTCGACATCTTCCTTGTGAATGTTAATGCACTTCTATTTATCTGTCAATCAAGATTCATAAATAGTTGCAAATTAGTTCGGAAATTTGATACTATGGGCTTGTAACTTACTTTCTTCATTGGTTAAAAAGATCACAAAATGTACCACTTTAAACCACGCCTGTTCAAAAACTTTATTATGGAGAGTTTTCAAACCATCATATTTGAGCTTCTTATGTTTTGAAAGACAATTTTTTAATCTCTATCTTATTTTACAATCTGCCAGGCTTCATTCTTGCATCTCTTTTTACAACATGAATTTGAGCTACATATATCAAAAGTTTTACATATCAATCATATTGAAGCCAATCTTTAACTAACCACCTGACTTCATTATAGCAGTTTTTTTTATTAAATTTTGTTATTACTGGATTTGATATTTCTTTCTCAAACTCGAGAAGATTTTGTTAATTTAATCAATAAAACAATTAATTTTCAACTAAATTGCAAATTAAATTTAAAGATCGTGAAAATATAACATAGTTTCCAAAGCCAATCATTCAAAATAAGAAAGAATTACAATAAATGATGTAAAAGAACAAAATTTGTCCCTTGCTTAAAAATAATAATTTCGCAATCGACAATAAAACAAGTCAATATTGTATAGTAATTTGAATATTTTTTCTTTATTTTTTAATTTTTCCGTGAATTTATATTTGCATTCTGTTTTCCTCCTGTTCATAAAAAAAAAACAATCTTTTTTCAACTTTATTGGGATAAATGAACAAAATGAATGAAATAAAGTCACACTTTTTTTTAGATGAATTTCTTTACATTATATGTTTTGTTATTTGGCCAGGCATGCTGGTATATTGTTTGTTATACATGTAAAAGACACACGGCCAGGATAAAAGCTGAGCGAGTTCAATCCCTGGATCCTGTCATGCTGAAAGTCACATGAGTATAAGCAAATCTCATTGCCAAAATTTGACCACAATTTCATACTGAAAATTTTATTTCTTCAAAAATCATAATTAAAAAAAATTATTACATTAAAACTGAAAATATTAAATATATTCGACTTTTTCTTACATTTTTTATAATCAAAATTTCATGAAACACATGTTCAGGAAATAACTTTTTCAAAGTAATGATTGTTTTATGAATAAAATTCAATCTTGAGCTGTTAGCATGAATTTGTGTCACTGTCTGTCAAGAGACGGACGAGAAATCAATGTTTTAAAAATATGGTTTTAATATTTTATAATAAAATTTAGGAATTTGATTATGCTTGTGTCTTTAAGTGAGGTTGGAATATTTTTTGGTATCATCAAATTGAAATGATCTCCATTTTTGTTAAATTACAGTCAGGAATGAAGGTTGAACCATGACAGAGTTTTGCGTTCCAGGTTTGCCAAGATGTTCTTAGATGACGCTATTAAATACCTACAAAAACAGGACACTTCCTGTCTTTTTTTCATATTTCTCTTCTTTATTTATAGCATGTAGTCTAAGTAATACTAGCACTTTACCCATTGACACCTATGGGGATATCTTTCCCCTAAGTGATCAAACCATCGCACGCACACACACTCACACGCATATATATCATACGCACATACAGACACACACATTTCATAATTACTTCATTTTTATGTTTTCCTTTTTGACAGCTAAATAATTTTGTTGCTCTTATGTTTTGGGCATTTTTTCAGCATGAATCCCTTTTCTTTAGCAATTTTTTTTTTGGGGGGTGGATATAATTTTCTTCAAAAATCATAATAAAAACATCCCTCCCCACAGCAACAATTTTTTTACTTGAGACCAAAAGCTTTTTCTTCCAGCTGTTTTTTTTTAAACGTGGGAGTTTCTATCTTTAAGATTCAATATTAGTCACCTTTTTAAAATCAAACTCTTAAGCAAATATAGATTGCATAAAATATAGGATAGACAGACAGACAGACAGACAGACAGACAGGCAGAGGGAAAGATATGTAGACAGATCTAGGCAGGTGTGGCCATATTTTTGGCTTTAGTCAGGGTAGAAATTACAAGCGACTGGTCGTTCCCAGGCATTTTTCCTATGAAGAATCCAATAAAAAAAAAATGAATGCTCTTCTATATAAACATGGGTCGATTTAAATTTCCTTCTTTTGTGCGATATTGAAACAAGAAAACATTTCAAATTTAATAATAATATTTCGGCCTTTATTGATACGATTATATTATAAATGTTTTCAGTAAAGTATAATTTCTCGTAATATTGAAAGATGTTTATGTTCATGTCCCTTCTTCACCCCCCCCCCAGCTTAAATCATCTTGAATTTATATCACAAACCTCAGTCAGTATCCCTCTGCATTGAGTGGCTCTTAAATCTTTTGCTGGGGGAACTTGAGTAAAACAAAATAAATGAAATAAAACATGAACTGAAGACCTCACAAAAACACCCACTCATTATTAAAAAAGAATTTATCAATTTTTACTGACAATCAAAAACAATGATTCCAATCAATTTAAATTCAGTTTGAAATGCAGCAAAGTATTTCACTTATTGCAAATTATAAATTTAATCTATTAGCTTGGAATTAAAACTAAAATAAAAGCTTCAAGAAAGATTTTTTCATTTTTTTAAAATGCATTACAACATTTTTAGGTAACCCCCACTTTTTTACATAATATTTTTATTCCATTATCAAAGAAGTGTTTAAATAAAGAATTAAATCCTAGGTCATGATCATAAAAAAATAAATAAAATTGATTATAATATCAAAAATAATTATCATTAATTCATCCATTCTAAACCAATGAGAATCGACCCAACTTTTCTCTACTATACACACGAACACTTGGCATTCTCCCTATCAGACAAGCAGTTCTCACGGACTAATCGTTAACACGTGCGTCAACGAAAATTTCACAACCTTTTCGTTTCCAGGACATGATAGTAACATTTTTAGCAATTGGAGGTAAGAAAACCTCAGACACATCTTGCATTTTTCCAACAAAATTATCTGGACACACAACTAAAAATATATATATATATATATATATATATATATATATATATATATACGAGAAAGCCTGTATACGTTTTTTACTTATTATTTATCTTCTGTTGAATTTTTGATCCATATTTAATCTCCATTTAACCCTAAACTCACAATTTTACTCAGTATTATTGTCTCTCGTCTCTCCAACTCCACAAGCAAATAATAAATAATACGCGTTTTCTTGTTTCCATATCTTGCTCTTTCTCTATTTTACAAGTATTTTTGTGTATATAAATGTTAGGGGTTTTATAATAAATTTACTCACAGATATAAAATCCCCTGCACGAGTTTCAAATTTCTGATGTAAAATTGACTTAAATATTTATTTCTCAAAATTTCACCGTCAAAACCGATTTTCACTTTTCTTCTGCAATTAGGAAATTATCTTTTGAATTATATTTTTTAGCTTTCAATTTGAAATATAAATTAATGTTACCCCGGATTTTAATTCCGATTAAATGCGCTGAACTGTATT